AAGAAACTCTGTCCAGAACATCTGAAGCCTGCTGACAAAGACATCCCTTTACCTGCTCACACTCTGACTCAAACCGTGAGTGGCAGATAAAGGAGTCACAGAGGCACAGAGTGAGGGAACCTACCTTGTCTTTGAGGTGACTTCATGGCAGGCACTGTTCTAATCACTCCTTCTATCTTACAGTGTGCAATCCTTACAACATCATTGAGCCATGGACACCATTTTCTGTGTCAGGGGTCAGCCAACTACAGCCTATGGGCTAGATCCAGCCTGTAGCTTGTTTTTGTACATAGCTTTATTGGAACATAGCCACACTCATTTGTTTATGCATTGTTTCCATCTGCTTTTGTGCTACAAAGGCAAAATTGAGTATGTAGTTGCAACAGAGGCCATTTTTTTTTTCTGAAAAGCCTAAAATATTTACTAGTTGTCTCTTTACAGAAAAAGTTTGGCAACACCTGATCTACGTGGTACTTATGAGAAAATGAGGCCTGAGGATGTTCAATAGTATTTCAAATGTCACTCAGCTACTCACCGGCACAGCCAAGAGTTAAACATGTGTCTATCTGACTTTAAAGCCCACTTTCTTTTCATTTCTCCAAATCAGAATTTAAAGAGTAAGATCTCAACTTCCTTCAAAGTATAGTGTATAAGTGGCATAGCACGTTAAAAACTGAGAGAGATGAGACATGAATAATAGTGCTATTTTTTAAGGCACTTGTGAGACATAATAACTGTTGGAACCCTTAAGCTATGTAAGAACACTGCACTATAAGTTATCTTTTTCCACTTCTAATTTAACTCTACACCAAAAATTATAAGACAAATCATTTGGAAAAAAAAAAAAACTAATGGAATTTTACCAGCAAAATTTGCATTCGATTTCAAAGTACAACTTTCACATTAAAACAGACCCTAAAATATTTGATGTGTTTCCTTAGTGTGCCATGGGACCACCAGCACGAACTTGCTAGCTCTTTCCCAGCTAGATAGGGATGGGGGATAGGGCAAAGGGTGCTTAAAATAAAAGTCTGACTTTTTCTTCGTAGCATGGCTTTTGTTTTACATGTCAGTTTCTCTTTCAAGACCGTTATTGCTTAACTCCTTCACCACTCAATTAGCTGAAGCGAGGTACTTGGCACAGACTGTTGGCAGGTGCCTGATGGAAGAAATTGTTCCTGCTCACCTGCTCACATTGCCTCACCTGAGCCGTCAGAGATTAGCAGCCTTTACCAGCAGCCATTAAATTTCCCCAAAGTGCTACTGGCACCATAAAGGCGCAAGGCTTCAAAAACAGACCCCAGAGAAAGGCGGTAGGCTGGCTCTGTTCACACCAGGGGCGGTAAACGTAGGAAAGCAGCATGTCCCCAGGACTCCAGTCCTTTCCAGATGGAGTCCTAGCTGTTGTGTCAATCCGAGAAAGGCTAGTTGAGGGGGAATAAAATGAAAGATTACCAACTTATTTTTACTTTTGAGACAAGTTTAGAATTTGGGGTTGAAAGTCAAAGTCCATGAGTCTCAGTCACTCAGGGTGGAAAGAAAGGGAAAAAGTAAGTCAGCACTAAAGTAACAATCCTCCCAGGCAAAGGTAGGAAGTAGACATAAAAGTCTTCACTCCACAGATCTGATTTGGGGGCATGGAGGACTCTCCAGCACTCGGGCAACAAGCGTGTCATCCTTACTTGCTAATTTTCACCCACCCTTTCCCATCCAAGAGCGGGAAGGGGATAAAATTCCAAGCAATCAGAACTTGGAGGGATTTGCGTTCACTGTTTAGCGGGAGGGCAGTGAAAGTACTGGCTGGAGCGTGGCGTGGGGATGGGCCTTTCCTACACATTCTAGCTGCCCGATAGCACAAAGAATTGGGTTGCCATTTATATCCCCTAAAGGCCCCTATGAGACCAGCCTCTGACCTCGGCTCATTACTCACCGGTGATGTGAGAGTTAAGCACGTGGCTTCCAGCAGGACGCACCCAAGTCTGTCAGGGCATGCCGTACAATCCTGGGTCAGGGCGACCCACAGCACAGAGGGCGTGTGCCAAGTCAGCTTTTCCTCCTCCCTGCAGAACAGTGGAAGAGGGAGGCTGTTCATTTGAACTTTTCTCAGTCCCACTGTACCTCTGCGCAGCCTACTAGGTGGCTTGTGGCTTCCAAGGGGAATGTTCCAGCAGCCCAGTGCATTCCACCGAGTCACCGCGGGGACTCTGTTTGTCCTGCCTGCCTTCCTTCCGTTTCTCGCAGGGCAAACTCCCCTGCTGAGGCACAGCTGAACTGTTGTCGCCTCTGTGGCTGCTTTTCTGACCCTTCCAACCAGAGCCCATTACTTTCTCACCATTACGTCCTCACTTCCCGGTGTCTGTAATCTCCGTGTAGAACTCATCGCACCGCAGGGAGGCACCTGATTATTCTCTGTCTACTTGTTGTTGTGTTTATCTTTGTAGCCACATCACCCCGTTCAGTGCCTGGCAAAAAGTAAACATTCAGGAGGCCTTTGTCTATGACTAGTCAGAAAATGTGATC